CCCCCCCCCCTCCCCCCTGCCCCAGAAGTAGGGCTCAACCATGGCGATGAAATGTACTCAAATACCAGAACGCGTACACACGCACTGGATTATTTGAGATTGTGTTGCCCTTCCGCTATGGGGAAGGAACATATGCACTCCGGTATACGCCTTCAAACACCGCATGTCTCGCCGCAAAGCCGTTCTCCCGTATTGGAGCAGCGTGTTCTTCCTATCTCTCCCTTTCCCTCTTTCTCTCTTGCCCTTTTTTGCATGGTGCTCCCCGCATTGGTTTTCATACCTACGGTTTTCTCAATCGAGAACCCCTTTGTTTCCACGATGGAGGACAGCACCCCGAACATTCCTTGACCGCCCTCCGTGCACCTCTCTCGCCTCTCGCGACGTGCTCGCTCGACCGAGGAAATGAGGAGCAAAGGCACCCGTTTCTTGACGAAACTGACAACAGAACATTGTAAAATTATATATTGCGCTCGCAACCCTTCAGGCGATAAATGCCACGTCGGCGTGCCTCGTGCTCTCTCTCGTGCTCCTCATTCTTCACAGTCGAACTACGTATGTACTGTAACTCATTCCACCGCGGGGTCTATGCGCCCTCGCCGAGCTCTCGCCGAACGAACCTATACGTAGTACAGAGGCCGGGAACACCGCAGTTGCCATCGCTTACCGAGTCATGTGCTTGAGTAGTACAAATCCCCTCCGTCGTTGCCTGTTTTGTCGCGCGGGACTATCAAAAGCTACACGCCTGCTGACGTGGAAACGGGGACACGAATCCTGGATCCCCGGAAAACGCTTGCGTTGAGATGAAACGCTCGCAACACAGGGTGATGGTGGAGTTTCTGATCGATAAGGAGGGAGTGGGAGAGTTTTGGGAGAGCAGGGGTGGCGATATGATTGACCCTTACCTGGAGAAGGTGGGCGTGCAGGTCGTATACCGCACGGTAGCATACAAATTTGCACTCTACCGCTGCACAATGTACTGCCAATTACACCCGGCGCTGTAGTCTAGTAGACTACAAATGTGCGTAGACTAGTCTACTACTGGCGATTTCTTGCTGCAGGGGGCAGAAGGCCCTCGAGCAGGTCTTGCCCCTGACGAAGATTGGGGTACTATAGACTAGTCTGCTTCACGAAAAGTTCCGAATCAGCTGTTGAGTCTTCGATTGAAGTCGTAGTCTAGTCTAGGCATCATTGAGATGTCTCCAATATGTAGTAGAGAAATTGAGTCAGCTGTGTAGTATGGTAGGGGGAGCAGAGGTGTCCCCAGGAAGAAGGAACGCTGCTGGCATGTTCGACGGAGACCGTTGCTTCACCAACTCGAACCAGTCAACGCCAATGGTATGGGAATGGAGTGTAGACGCACGCATCGTAGAACGCGTTTTCGTTTGAAGTTGGCGTCTTGTTTGAGAGTAGATGTGACAGATTTGCGTAGAATAGGTAGAAAGGGCTTTTCCAACACGGAGATGTAGCATGGATCAAAGCATTTGTTGGATTTCAGCTTTTACAAGCGGACATCAACGCAGTAAGTAGTATTTTAGCAAGCTTACGAACGCATATAGGATACCATCAGGATTGTCATTGGTAAGTTGAAGAGGAGATACTTTTACGATGTAAATGACAGTAGAAATAAGTCCTACATATGTTGTTGTACTTCGTATTGGTTTAATATTCATGTAGAGTATGAGACATTAAGTGAAAGTTTTCTGAGGTACATCTGCAATTGTCGGAAGGCAAAAAAAATAAATAAATAAATATAGGGTAAGATGAGTTCATGAACGGAGAAGAAAGGGCTTTTCCAACACGGAGATGTAGCATGGATCAAAGCATTTGTTGGATTTCAGCTTTTACAAGCGGACATCAACGCAGTAGTATTTTAGCAAGCTTACGAACGCATGTAGGATACCATGAGGATTGTCATTGGTTTTATTTCAAATTGCACGGGAGTTATTTTTACGATGTAAGTGACAGAAGAAATAAGTCCTACATATGTTGTTGTACTTCGTATTGGTTTAATATTCATGTAGAGTATGAGACATTAAGTGAAAGTTTTCTGAGGTACATCTGCAATTGTCGGAAGGCAACCAAAAAAAAAAACACATTTTGGAGATTTTTGGTACTTCGATGCATTGTCTACCTGTACGCTATTCGTGATGTTTTGTGTCGTGTCGGCCGTGACTGCACGAAAACTGCGTTACCCGCATTATGATCGTCAAAACAATGGCTAGAGTGGTCCAGAGAAGTAATTCCCTGTCCCCTGTAGATATGTCGGGCTCGCACACTGTGGAAACAAGCGCGTCCTACGGCCAACGCTGCATCAAGACTACAAGCGGGGTTGATGCAGATAGGGGCGTGTGACACAACGAGCGTGTGATATCTGCAATGCCAGACTCATTTTAGTCTCTTCCGAGTCTTCTCGAGTGGTCGCCGTGGCCAAAAGCCCAAACACGCACCACCAGCAGAAGCAATAATCCCGATTGGCCATCTTTGAACATGTGTCACAAAAGGCCAAAGTGATGTCCGTCTGTGATCATTGCTTTCTTCTTCGCCTGGACACATCATTTCGCTCGAAATATCGTCGTGTTCCTTGCACCACTGACCGTGTTTCCTTTGGTTGCTCGTTCGGGAGGTCCCAGCGAGTTTTTCATTCTGAATATATTTCCCTCGATATGTGAGCATGCTGACATGTCGTGGTGGGTAATATCGTTGACCGACAAGAGCTCCGAACCGAATCTTGGCACAAAACGGTTCCCTTCGGTCTCCTATTACTCCCTCATCATCCCCTCATCATTCGCAGCGGTGGTGTGACAGGCTTGGGAGAAGTCGTAGGAATGGACAGCGTTGTAGTCGGGGCACCTTGGTAAGTTTGTTGTGCAGTCTAGAAGAGGACTATCTCATCCCTGCAAAGGTTTACTTTCTCGTTGAAAAGACCCAAATCTTGTTGGAAACGAGGATACAGTCGTGGTCCCGGATTCGCGGTCCATGTGTCACAAAATGATAAAACCGTCATTGAGAGCATCGCCGCTAAACCGGGTTGGCAGATATATTGTAGTATAACTACCGAGGTGCAGCGGTGTAGCGAGATATTGGGACCGCCATTGAGGGCATCCAGCGAAACAGGGAACCGCTGAACCGAGACCAAGACTGACTGTACTCGCCCCGATGGATAGCAGGTTTCATTGGGAAGTTATTCTGGCGGTGCCTCGGAAAAAAGGAGACAATATAAGCAACCCAACTGTGCGGTCTCCTTTCGAATCCAGGGGAACACTTCCTACGCAAATACGAAACCACCGGAACCTCACATATCAGTCTGTGTCGGGCTACACACGTCACTTTAAGTACTCTTCAGTATGCTGAAGTACTGACGGCGGGCCTACGCTATTATCAAACGCCGTTCCTTTCACTGAGGTTTGTTGGTTTGAGGTTCGACATCGTCTTGGACTCTGTACGTGTATTACCCGGATGGCAGTGTGTTCTGTGATGATGTTGTACCGTCGGAGACTACGAGAGTCAATGCGCATATTGAAGATTCTCATTCCCTTCAAGAACCAAAACTATGATTTGTGTACTTTGTACAAAGTCTGCGAATGGATACACAGAAGCTCCTTCAAGAGGCTAATAACGGATGCCTCATGCCTACAGTCTCGTTGCGCAAATTCCATCTCACGATGTTTCGGCAGCTGCAGCATGTACCACGACAAGAAATAATATTTGCTTGTACTTCGCGTACCCCACGGAAGCCGTCGTTTGTACCGAAAGCAAACATTCTTTTCCATCGTGAACACGAGCGTCGCCACTCGTACGTTGATTTACATGCGTTTCCCTCTACATCTGCCCTATTTGCTGCCGCAAAATTCATACTAGTATGTTTTCTGAACCTCGACAGGGACTCAGCTCTATGGCGCTCAGTCTCACCATAAACTCCGTCAGTCCGGAACAAGACTGGACTTCCACTGAGGTACGGCCGACTTCGCACTCTTCGGACGTCAAGCGCGATGAAAAGGCCGCAGAACAAGCGAGAAAGTGCGCAAGAAGCTCCCCAGGCTGGAGACCGACTCCAGAATCGGCCAGCATCATGACGTCACCGACGCCATCAGTGAGGGGGCAGTTGTTCCAACAAGAGCACAACGAGGAAGACATTCCCTTCTCGACTGTACAGTGGCGTTGGTGCTACCCAGTGCGGCGTTTCCCCCCCTGCAGCCTCAGAAAGACAAGGCTCAAGCACTGGCCAGACATACGAAGAGGGAGGGAGGCTGGGCCGCCGACGAGACTGAACCAGTTGATTCCGCTCGTCAAGCCGCGACGGTTGGACGAGAGGAGCTGCGTAAGCTGCTTTTCGCAAAGGTGGAGAAAGAGTTAGCGAGGCGGCAGGCGGTTGAGGATAAGACGGCGGCGGCTAAGGCGGCGACGGCGGTGACAGAGGCGGCTGTGGAAGCCGCGGAGACACTGGCACCAGAGATGGCTGCGGCGATGGCGGTGCCAGCGATGGCGGTGCCAGCGGTGGCGGTGCCAGCGACGGCGATGGTAACGGATGAATCCTCTCAGCACCTGCTACCGGGGCATTGTCCCCGCCCCGCCGATTTCCCCACTGAAGTACTCCTATCGTCCTATCCTCGACCGGACAGCACAGTTCGCCGTTCACTGCGGGTTCCGCCCAGCAGTTGCCCCACTGCTCCCTCACGACATCGTGTAGACAGTGTACGGGGCGCAGTCCGCAGGCAGCGTGGCGACGCTGACGGCCGTCGACATGGACTATATGCTCCACGTTTTCTGGGACCACGTGGTCACAACGTACACCAGGGAGGAGATGTTCTTCCGGATGGTCACCCGCCCAGGCAACAGCGGCATCATGAGGGTGAGTAGTAAAGTTCAGAGGCACAATCAACGGGCGGGCGGGGCGAAAGGCTTTGAATACATCAACGTTTGACGTGTGCTGTGCCTGGATTTCGCCTGGTTTTCTTGACGCGATCTTTCCCGTGGATAGGAACGTCGCTCTCATGAAACGATCCGGAGATCAGAGTTGTAGATCGGCAGTCGCCACGATGGTTCGTGTGTCTCACTAGCCATGGTCATTAACCATGGATCACACCGTACTCCTTGAAATTCCTGCTATATGTGACTCTCTCTGCTACAATCTACCGCGTGCTTACCGTCCAGCCTTTCAGGACGACCTACGACCTTTGATCGCTGCATCCGTGCAATACCACCAGGACTTCATCGTCTATCGCCTCTGAACAAGGTCCTCTTCATGGAGAACGTTTTCACGGACATTTTCTTTAGGAACGGGTGAGTACTAGTTGAATACGCCTGTGATTTGCAGCCAGCTCGGGGCTGTGATATCCCATCGCCAAACCCGGACGTTTTCCGCATCTTCCGATAAGGACTCAGAACACAACTTGCTGCACTGCATGAAATCTTCGCACCTCTGTGGCATACCTGTGTAGGGAATGTCTCGGATGCTGCGATCATTCCTGCCTTCGTCGTTCACTTTTCGGCATATTACTTCAACCGGTCCGTCCGTACCATCTCAGTCGCTGCGCAGTGATTGGCCTCCAAGACCTGTGCCGAAGCGGCGGCACGACATCTTCTTTTCGGTAAGTCCGACAGCGTGCGACAAAAATCGGTATTTAGTTGTGTGCACGTTTGTTTGTCGCTGGGGGTAAAGTCGAAGTGGATTTGGACGCTATCCCTGTAAATCACTACCGGCTATAGCGACCGAAAACCTCTGAAGCTGCAAATGCCGAACACTGAGATCACTTGTGTACCCAGCTGCTGTCCTCTGCTGCTGCCCTCTGCTGCAATCACCGATTTCCTTACCTCGCAAGGATCCCGCCTATCTTTCGTGGCATATCGACGGCGCCACGATGATCCCGGGGGAATTGAGTCTGGTCTTCAGCGGGGCCTTCACAAGTGGCCACTGGGACTACCCTCCCGCTGCCAGTATTTATGCCTTCTGAAGCGTTCCTTGCTTGTCGACTAGAAGTACATGTAGCACGTGAACGGAAAGCCTCAAGGAGTCCTCACCAGCGGCATCCTCGTGCTTTCACGTCAAACAGCAGCTTGGAGCATTCCCCCTAGTTCTCGAGGGCATTCCTTTTCAAGTTCCAAAGGGTATCAGATCATGCTGTGCGGGAATTCTGCCGTGACACCTTGCCTAACTGATGGCGGTTCATTTCAGAGTCCCTCCCGCCCACGCTGGACCCGATAGAAAGGGGTTGCCGACAGGGATCCCAGTCTGGGCTCCCGTCGGCACTCGTGAGTCGTTGTCGGTGCAGCAGTCTAGGCTACACGTAAACGTACCGTTCTGCCTCTTGCACCCGGGGACTGGGCTCTAAACCCAGATATTCGTTACGTCTTGTGGGACTTCGATTTGATAGCGAGCGAAAAGATCGATCACGAAGGCATACGTGGCATGGACTTTTGAGGCAGAAGAAGGGCACGCGGCGAAACGGGCCTCTTGTGACCATCTGGATCTCAACAGCAGAAAAGCATCAAGCAAACGTACTCTCCTTGTTGTATGATGTACAGAATATATATGCAGATTTTTTGATGAAGTCTGAGAACGGCAGCCATTTACACCACGAATTCTACACGCATGGCTGAGCAACAGCACAAGTTGTCGCCTACTTTGAATGGTGACTCAACACCTGGAGTTCACCACCTCCCCCCACGCGGCTAATTTTGGAGCTCGAAACACTGTACCTACGGCAGGGAGCAAAGGATTTTCACCCCGTCCCGGCCGGGCCGCGTCCGCTCCGCCATCTGCAAGGATGAACCTCAGCGCACCCCGTACCACTAGAACCAAATATATACATATATATATATATATATCAGGGGGTGCTACAGGCAGCGTAGCTCCTTCGGCGCCGGGTACTGCGCGCCGAATGGCCATCGGCAAACAAGGCTCTGCACCGGCGGCCCAAGCGGCTCGCTCATTTTTTGTGGTCCCTGACCCCCGGTTTTTCGGTATCGGAACGAATGCCTCCTGAACCGCCCCTGTTTCGAAACCCTCCATGAAGAGAACGTTCGGCGCGTTGGCGCACTCAGCACTATACGTTGTTAGCGCGTCGGAATCGCACTACGCTAGTAGTAGCCGTGGAGAATGTCGTCCCAGAAGCGCGGTAGGACCGATGGCCACCTTTCGAAGGAGCAGTATAATGCCGTCGGCGGGGGTGCTTCATCCAGCCAGGTGTGTACCTGCTTTGATTCAGTTACATGCCGTTTTGAATCGTTGAGCGGACAGCACAACCTTACCTACCCTACACACGCGGCGGTACAGCAGTGGGTACGAGCAGTCTCAGCTACGCCCAATGCTTATGCAGTCAGCGAGGTTGCTTGTTGAGCGCTCGAACCAAGGTGTAGTTTTTGAAGCAACCTTGTTTAGCTAACCTAGCCAGCTACGCTTCAGATTGAAACCACGGCCGTCTGGCCCGCAGACTCTTTTGATCGTGATAGATTTCCCGTCAAATTGCCCAAACTATCTACAGCAGTACAGCAGTTGCCAAAGCTGCTGTCGTGGGGGAAACTAGCCATGCCTCATGATGTGTCCTTTCAGGCGGGGTAAACGCTGCCTCAGTACTGGTCCCGACAGAGAGGGGTGATATTACATCAAAGGCCTTCCGCCACCACTATATCGGGACCCCGTACGACTGACTGTACAGTCGTGTATGCAACCATTGACACTTGGAAAACGATGCATAGTAACGACACAGCACAGCACCGCAACGCAGACAGCCGTGCGACTCGTTGGGGCACCTGATTCCTTGTCAAGACACATTTTTGGTGGACTGTACAGCAGCTGTATGCTAGTGGTGACTTGTAGTCACGGTCGCCGAAGTAAAATTGTCGCTGATGCCCTGTCGTCTTGGCTAACTGCTGTACCCTACATACGTTGTTTCCTATAATGCGGTATTCACACAGGTTCACCACCTCATGCCAAAAAGCGCAACAGATTTACAATCCCGACCGTGTAGACCACACCAGTCCTCTGACTGCGGTGCAAACACGAGAGGCCTGCCGCCCCGGTGCCGCACACTGCTGTTCTGCTGCTGTACGGCACGGTCACTGGGTCGGCTGTTTACAGTATCATGTTCGCGGACAATTGTCGGAACTTGAGAGTTCAGATATTTGGAGACGACTTACGTACGTCCGCCGAGAGGGGCAACCCTTCGTCTAGAGCTTTCCTTGCCCAGCAATACTTCCTTGCCTCTATGTTGCCTACGAGCTCTGCAACTGTTCCGGCGGGCCAACAGAACAGCAGAGAAAATTCCTTGTTATAAGTAGCCCCCCTCGCACCCTCCTCGCCGTCTATGATGCTGGTGGCCCCGCTAGTACTGTTGGAGACGGCTCTCGCTTGTGTCGTGCAGCACGAATTCCATGCAAAAAATTCACCACCACAATACCGAACATATTCCGGCCTGCGCGCGCACGGGCTGCAGGTTCAGGGATTTTCTTTCGGAGGCGCGTCTGGCCTTTCTTCTGCGCCGGTGGCGGACCAGGACACGCTGACGGCGCGCAAGATCGTGAGGGTGGGGACCGGGAGGATGCGTCGCCTGAACAAGAAGTGAGTGCGGGCGCGGGTGCGGCGGGGGTAGTCCCGGCACACGTCGTCTGAAATCGAAAAAAAAAATGTTCTGGACGTATTTTTTTTCTTTTTCTGCTCGTCTGCTCTTTTTTTATATTTCATTTTGCGATCTCAAAGAACGCGGGCGTTGAAGCGGCGTTTGCTGCTTTGCCGCTGTGCATTGAATGAGGTGCTGGTTTACACACGCCGTGAACACAAGCCGCAGCAAGTGGCACCGCTCCGAGCGGGACGAAACGAAAGTTTTTCCCTCCTGGAAGGCGTTCGAGTTTTGCTCCCATGACCGGTCTTGTAGGGTCCCTGCTCCCCACGACTGCCGTAGGTGTGGGTTCCATCCCGTGGTGTCATGTTGTTGGTTTGGTGTAGTGGAAAAGCTCGGTGTAAGGGGAAGCTCAGCTTCGCTACGTGTCCCCGCCCTCCCGCTGCTACGAGGTTGGTCCGGCGGAGAAAGAGACACTCATTTGTGGCAACAGAGAAAGTAGAACCGGTGTTGTCCTGGCGACCCACAAAGTAAAGCCAAGAGTTGGTAGTTTTGTATTTTCCCATCGTTTTTAACGCTAAGATCGTGGCGCTAGTAACTTTCGGGATGGACAAAACAGGTTCAAGGACGCAGTGCAGCAGGTGCTGGCGCGGGACGGGAATACGGACCTGACCTACATGGTGGCCGACTACTTGTCATACTCGGCGAGAGTGCACCAAACGTGAGTCCGGCACCTCATTTTTTTTTTTGCAACTTGTGTGGCAAGGAAAGGGAACTTCAATCACAGCTCTCAACATACCGTCGATCTTTGCTTCGGTTGCGTGTGGTGGTGACGGTGGTGGGGGGGGCGGGGCTGGGCCTGGGGCTGGCAGTGTAGTGGTGATGTTGGCGTTGTTGCTGCCCTCGTTCATGTTATTGGTGCGGCTGCTGCGGCCGCTGTTGTTCGTCTTTGCGAGGGTTCAGGTGGGTGGGTTGACGTGGCTGTTGCCATAGATGAAATAGCACCTGCACTTAGTGTGACCGAGCCCCCAACCTTTGCGCCATGCCCCAGTTGCTTGTTTTGTGCCGTAGCACCCGGTTTACACGCGACCCCTCCCTGTCTTCGCCTTTGTTCCCCCCTTACTTAAATGCTTTTTGGCAGGTTCTTTGCCGACCATGGACAGGTGTACATGTGCGGCAACGGGGACTGCGGCCAGGTAAGCCACAACGGCAGGGTATTGGGGTACAGGAAGTGGCTACGGTGCAAGAGAGGTCAGGGACAAGCCAGCAAGACTTTCCTATTGCCGGTTGTCTCTTGTGAAAACAGACTGTTGAACCGTAGCCGCCACTTCAACCAATTCTGTATACCATGTATTGGGCGGCAGTTAGCGATGCATGGCGTATCGTCCTGAGTCAATACCGTATATGACACAAGGGAACACACACCCCCCTGACCGATTTTCGAAGCTCGATTTCTCAACTGCAGGAACAGTCACAGCGCCGAAAACGGTGGCGTTGAAACCGTCTCGTCGAGAGCTTTTCGAAAATGTATCGTTTCGTTTATGCACCCTCTTCGTCGTGGAGTAATCAAGCTTTGAAAATCGGTCCAGGGGGTGTGTTATCTTGTGTCATATATGGTACTCCCCCGTCACCGTAGACGGCACTGCAGTACACGATATGGGATAGGATGGCACAGGACTCGAACAAGTAAGTTCCCGGAGCACTTGGTTCCGTACCTCAAGGGCCGGCGGCAATGTGAGACACCGACGAATCGTGTGGTGTTCTCTCTGCAAGTGAAGTCTAAGTGCCTTGTTTTTACGCTGCGGACGTTAGCGCTTGCGTGTTAACCATGTGACGAAGACACCGTCTGTCCGTGCGGAGAGAGAGGGTACGAAATGGTGTGCCTCGTCCATGCCAGCGGCTCCCATGGCACCAGCATTGAGCCTCCGCCTGACCGCAGACCGCACAACAAATGTACCGAGGAAAGAGATGTATGTAGACGAGAACATCAGAGGAAAGAGGAATAATAGCGTTTAACGAGAGGAGGAGAGGAAGGAACGAAATAAAAGCGTTTTGATATTGGTATTGGTCTGGCGTCTTCGTGCCCCTGGTCCCTCTTGCCCCCTGGTTGTGGCCTCCCATCGCTATACGTCCCCCTCGCCTCTCTATTGCGCGTGATTGCATCTCGTGTGTCGCCAGCTGGGCTTCGGGACGGAAGAGATGCGCGACATGGACGTGAAAGTGCCGAGGCTTCTCCCGGGCCTGTCGAAGCATCGGGTGAGGCACCAATGTACCGTGAAGTGTTTTTGGAGCAGTTGATAGTACGTCAGGCAACTGACGCCCATACGGCGTTTGGCAGAGCTTGGATGGGAGGCTACAGTTAAGTTTGGGAGAGTTGATACAAAAAGGCAACGAACGCCCTGGCAAAAGTCACGATAGGAGACTGCCGTGGAGAGCGAACACAACAGGCAACGCCCCAGGGCATGTGGCAGCGCTTCCGATGCCTGCGCAAAGGGTGCGGTAGGCGTTTTCTGAGCGGTCGGTCTCAAGCAGCAGCTGCGGCCCCGAGAAAGGCCGCTGCTTCATCCCGAAATGTTGTTTGCTCACCTGTATCGATGCCGATCCGTCAGGCCGTTTTCCATGTTTTGTTTGGGCGATTTGGAAAACGCAAAGAAAAAATGTCGAAGAATCAAGGCATTGGTGGTTGGAAGTGTAGTGCTTGTATAACCGGTTCCAGTGTTTGCGTCATCACCCCAAGGCCACAAGCAAGGCAGAGTAGCCGCATTTTCCCCCGATTTGCGCAGGGTAAAGAAACGTTTTCGTCGAAAGTTTTCGCCTTGGTGTCCGCACGAGCCTTGCGTCTTAACAACAGGGTCCCTCCCCCGCATTTTTGCATGCCACTGCTTGTATCAATAGCGAATTTTTCTCACCTCCATGAGCTTTTGTTGTCCCGCTCGTTCGGTACGTACTACTGGGTGGAATTTGGCGGAGGAGTGGCCGACTCTGCCGCCGACCAATGATAGTCGCAACAACTACGCTTTCATCTCCTGCAACAGCGCCGCGCTCCCTGCCTGCCCAGGTGACGGCCGTGACGTGCGGCGGGATCGCCACCGCCGCCCTTACGGAGAGCGGGCGCGTGTTCACGTGGGGGTCTTCGGACGACGGGGGGATAGGCCGTCTCTCGGGGCCCGATGCACCGGAACAGTTCCCGGGGGAGGTGGGTGTACTCTCATGTCTTGCATGCCTCACTTGTTAGACCGTTGGCCATCGGCGGCGACGGGGGAGGGGGCTACTCATGTAGACGCATGCCGTCGTCGTTAGACCGTTGACCTCGCATCCCTACAGTGCCGGGGCGGAGCGGTATACCGGGTTTTCACCTGATGAGGCTATCACATTGCCAAGCGCGAAGCGCCTTAGGCTGGAGACGCACTAATGTTTTGCATTCCTTCGTTAATTAAGACCATTTACCGAGGGGTATACTTATTGCAGGCGCATGCCGTTTAGCCATTGACCCCGCATCCCTCCGATGCCGGGACGAAGCGATATGCCGGAGTTTTGCCGGCCCAGGCCGGGGAGGGCTTTCGTTCGGCATCAACAGCGCTAGCCAGCGAAAGGACGTCATCAGTCTTACGATGTACGGCGGGACGTGGAGGTGGACGTGTGGTTGGTTGTGTGTGATTTTGCGAGCGTGTGGAGCCTCCTGCCGGTGTTTCCTGGCACGGTAGCGTCCAGGAAAACTGGGCAGCACAAGCTTGTTAAGTTCAACAGGAGCAAGAACGTCATCTGTCTGCGGCAACTATCTCGTACCTTCTTTCTTCTCCATCGGTTCATTTTTTCTTCGAGGAATCCACCCACCGACATCGTTTGTTTTCCCTCACTCCCGTTGCTCATTCTGCTGAGTTATGTTTCAAGTTTCACGCGTGACCCTTGCCAGTAAAATAATCCACGCACTCGATCTGCGTGTTTATTTTTTTTCGTCTGTGCTGCTGCGCCGCCCCCCTCTCCGCTTGCCATTCTTTTTCTCGCTCTGTTCGCGCTAAGGTCAAGGAGGGTCTCGAGGGGGCGACCATTATCAGCCTCGCCTCGGGAGATTGCCAGACCATCGCGCTCGACCTTTCGGGGAAGGTGTACGGGTGGGGCTGCTTTAAGGACAAGGTCAGAGACGGGCGCGAGGATTAGGTCAGCTGCAGCCACAAGGGTTAGGTTTAGGGTTGCGGCGGGAGTCCCCCCCTCAGCAGTGCCCGTCGCCTTCAACGGCAATGTTCTACCGGGAGCACCACACACCCGAAACGATGCAGGGAATGAGACAGCTTGAAAGTGCCACCCTATGCCACCCGACTTCACCGGCACAATCCCCGGCGCTGGAACTCGGCAACTCCCTCTCTACTACGGTGGTAGCAGTCCCAGAAGTCGACCATTCCCGAACTCCGGGGGGTGTGCGTTAGTCGTGCTGTCCAACGCGATGATGGCGGCCGCCGCAATCGGCTGTTATTAACGTATGGGGAAACGTAGTCGCTTGGCCGGCTGGGATAGGCATTGTACTGCCTATGCATAACTTGGCTCCGTGGGGTACTTACGTGCTGTCAGTGCGTCTCTCACGCCAATCATCGCAATTCGTCGTGAGGCCGGAAGAACTCGTAATGTACGCGGCACGACAATTACGGCGAACCTACCTGCAAGATCTGGTGCGCTCCTCCGAAAGTTTTCGGCGCGCGCTCCAAAGCCTGCGAGGTGGCTCCAGCCTGCCTGCCTCATCATGTACTAGAAAGTAGCCTACACGTGCACGGATTTGTTTGGCATTTTGCTGGCTTGACTTGACCACAACGTATTGCCAATGTGTGCGTGTCTCAATGCGCTGGGGACTGTGGGGCCTCCTTTTTCCACCACCCGCATGTTGCGACTACTCGACTATGCTGCTCTTTTCTCTCTAACCCCCGCTCTGTTTTACGTTTCAATCCCGCTCTCTCCCATTCTCGCTTTGTTTGTGTCTCTCTATCTGCCTTTGTGTATGTATTTATCTCTGTCGTGGTCTCTCTTGATCTCGCTCCTGCTCTCTCTACCCCCCCCCCCCCCCCCCCCCCCCCCCCCCCCCCCCCCCCCCCCCCCCCCCCCCCCCCCCCCCNCCCCCCCCCCCCCCCCCCCCCCCCCCCCCCGCTCTCTCTCTCTCCGCGTTTCGTGTGTGTGTTGTAGGAGGGAAAACAGTGGTTCCAAGCCCCCGCGGACAAGGGATCCAAGGCCTGCAAGGGTGCTGCTAAACGACCCATTGTGGTAAGAGATACTTTGTGTCACTAAAATATCATATATGCATACTACCTTACAGTATAGATATTGATGACATTTCATGATGTGCATGATGTACGCGGTAAGTTGCGTGCATGAAGACGTACACGATGATGTACATGATGATGTACGTAAATGACGACGCATGACGTACGTATATGGTGACATGTACGACGATGTACTGACGATGCACATGATGGTGTACACGATGATGACAACGACCAACAGAGCACAGCAGCGTCGTCAGCCACGAACCGTACTGTATGACGCCTTGTTCGAGTTGTCATTGGAGAGCCAAACGAATTGGCTGAGAACAAGAGCAGCAAACCAAGCAGGCAGTGAAATCTTATCCACGATGGTATTCATTCTGTTGAAATTGACATTGCTGGTTTCATATCTGCGAAATTTACACGAGAGCATGGCAGCGCAGTACAGCCCGCCAAGATCACTGGGTTCTCAGGGGTCCACCACGTGAGCCGGGAATCAAGAACGCGGTGAAATTTTCCTCACAATGATAATTATTCTTTTGAGATGCGCACTTCTCGTTGCGCATCTAAACGAAGATTTGGCACAAAAAACTACGTGAGAGTGAGAATAGTGCGATCCACCACCATCACTCGTTTCACAGAGCCCTCCCACAAAGTGGCGAGGACGGTGTTGACCGGCAAAGCATGAAAATCTTAGTCTTGGAGGAGAGCCGAAGCAATTCGTGAAGAGTGTGTATGCCACCACTAAGGGACTCGCACGCCGTTTCAATGAGCTAGGATCATTCGACTGCTGCAATCACTTGACCACATCACATCGCTATTTTATCGACCGATCTCGTCGCTGTTTATTTTGACCAATCGCATCACTGCTTATCCCGTTGAACCGATCAGATTTCCGGTCTACCGCCGCACGTGGCGGACATCAAGTGCGGCAATAGCTTCTGCCTGGCGCTGACAATGGCAGTAAGTCACACAATCGCAGGGGGGGACTGTCGTACACTGTCGCGAACGCGTTGTGCTGGTTCACAACAACGAGCGTTGAATTTATCGCACGAGTGACAACAGTATCTGGTTGTACCATGCCGCAGTTTGGGGCATTATATCTGGAAACGTCCGGAGCACACTTTTTTTTTCCTTTTCCCGCGCACAATCTCCCAGGCACAACACACTGGCGTTGTAGCGTTTCACCGCACGACGCGGCGGGTGTTGAATTTTATGCTGGCGCACCGGCGAAGCCCGCACCCGGAACAGCAGTTGCCATACCACGTGCTGCTTTGGAGGCGTACGATAGATGTATACATATGCGCGAGAAAGAGTTGCCTCCGTACGAGGCACTGGAGATCCCTATGCATAACCCGAAAGAACATTCGTGGTCTGTTCGGCACGACAACGCAGCGCCGAGTTTTTATCATTTCGCGGTTGCCGTCGCAGCTACAACTTCGTTTTTTTTGTGCACGTGTGTGTGAGCCAGGAAGAAGGGTAGAGGGTACGCACTTGTACAGTTACCACCACAGGCTGCTTGGATGAAATCTACATAATACTTCGAGCTAGTAGCAAGGGGTGGTTGTGAATGTGGAACGATGTGGTGGTCCCCTACATCAAGTACACTCGTGCCGACGCCGCCGGAAGAGTGTGGAAAAAAAAAAAAAAACGAGCCTTTGGCGCAGCCGGAAAGACAGTAGCTCACACCCAAGGTACACCCCACGCAGGCGGAACCGGCAGCGGCAGAGGCAGGACCCGCGGCGTTCCTTTTGGGGTTGCTCGAACGAAAAATAGTCTCCCTCACGACGACAGCAAACGCCCTTTCTTTTTTTTCTTTTTTTTCTTTTTTTTCCTCACGCCATGGCACTCGTCGGCGTTGCTCGAAAGGAAATTAACTCTTCCTCCCAAAGAAGAATCGCCACAACAGCATTTTCTTTCTTTTTTTTTCACGCCAACAGGGCGAAGTGTTGAGCTGGGGCATCGGGGAGATCGGCGAGCTTGGTCGAGAGGTGTGCTCGATGAAGGTGCCGCCCGTACCGGGGTCGGACGAGGAGCCTCCCTACGACTTCGACGGCATCCAGAGGGACCACCTCACTCCCGCGGGCATGTACAGGGCGGCGGAGGACGGGGGCGCGCGGATGGAGAATGTGAAGGTATGTGGTTTCTTTGCTCTGCTTGCTTTGCTCCCTTGCTTTGCTCTCGTGCTTTGCTTTGCTTGCTTAGCCTGCTATGCTTGCTCTGCTTGCTTTGCTTACTTTGCTTGCTCTGCTTGCTTTTGCTGCTTGCTCGGATGAATGGGTGCATTCTGCATGAATACCTGTGCCCAGCAACAGTGATTTTTTGTGTGGTGATAAACTAGCACAAACGGCAGCGTATTACCGTGTGTGCAGTTGAAGCCCTGGTGGGATTCGCAGTTTTTTTTTCAAGTTGCCTTGGTCGTGGCACCACACTCGCTGTCGGCGACGCCGTAGCGTCAAGAAAGTATCATTTATTGTATTATGGTGGTAAGCACGACAAAATGGCGGGTAAGCCATGCTGTCAGCAAAACGTGCCCTGTCGCCTTGCTGTCCAACATTGGTAGCGATGGGGCTGTCTAGTCGATTTCTCTCGACCCCTCTATCCCTGCCTGGAAAATTGTTGTGTTTTTCTTAGTTTTGTTGTGAAGTCGACGCTTCTTGCGTCGCGTTTTTTCCACGCGTGTGCCACTCAAAATGTGGAAAAACACTTGAACATGTACCGCGCTCCCTGGGCTCTTTTCCTTTCGTGCGAAACGAAGAGCAGCACATTTGCTCAACAGCGAAGGGCATTTGGTAGCACCAAGTAACGACAACCAGTTACAACGTCATACCACAAAACAACATTCAGTAACGCGACATTAACCAACCACTGCTAACAACCAATGAATTGACCCCACCAACAACAAACGATGACAGTAAACCTTATCAACAACTGTGTCAATAACCTTGTCAACAATAACGGCGACGGCAAAACTACGAAAACGGCAGGCGATCGGGTGCGGAGACTTCCACTCGCTGGTGGTAACGAGGGCTGACGCCGACGTGTACTCTTGTGGCCTCAACTCGTACGGCCAGCTGGGTCTGGGCGACACGGACAACAGGAAGCGGCTGGCGCTCGTCCAAGACCTCGCTGTGCGTTTTCGCCCCTTGACAGACATAATCATTCAACTTCGGGACCGATAGGCATCAGGGGGGACGTCGAACAGAGCGGGGGGGGGGAGGGGGGAGGTCGACACGTGTTCTCGTTGGCGTGTGTTGATCGTTTGCTCCTCTTGTCTTCTCTCTCTATTCCTGTCTCGCAAGGGATGTGTTGTGTGCTTTGTTGTTGAAGCAGGGACAGTTTCTTCCTGCGTTTGGTCTGTTCTCTTTTGGATCTGCTTATGTCGCTCCCTCGCCCGCCCCTGTTTTTTCTTCCTTTTTCGTGGTTTCTCGGCCAGACAACACCCGTTCCTCGTGGACGAAAATGATCAATCACTCCTGTTCTTTTCATTGCCCATTTTCCTAGTATTGAAGACGTTTTTGTGTTTCTTCGCATGCATGCTACTTGGAGACAAACAGCAGGCGTTGAACACGGCTCTTCCGCTCGTCTTTTCCGTTTCACGAACAGCCAAAAGAACAGGTCCTGCACTGTTATCTTGGTACTCCTACACTATCCATGGGTGAAATAACAGGCTCTGAACACGGCCGTCCGTTCTTTTCCGATATCTTCACTGATAAGCCTTGACAATAGAGTCCTTCTGCTTCGCATGTTCCTATCCATGTGCAGGCTTTGAATACGATGGCCGTGGCCGGCGGGGGTATGCACTCCCTAGTCTTGACTACGGAGGGACTCTTCTCTTTTGGCAGGAAGGACTCCGGACAGCTAGGCTGCACCGCTGCAATCAACAAGGACGACTGGGGGGCCTTCGAGACCAGTCCCATGGAGGTGCGGAAATAATGTAGTCGTTGCTGCTGTCGAAATGTTTTTCGATTGCCGTTGGAGCTGTTTTGTATTATATTTTGTTGTTGTTGTTGTTGTTGTTGTTATTGTTGATGCTGTTGGTGATAGTGTCGGTGTCGCTCCTTCTTGTTGTCGGTGCCGCTGCTGTCGCTGTGTTTTTGGCTGTTTTCTTGTTTTCTCAAAAAGCTTTTCTCTCTTCTCGCCGCTACCTCCTGCGTCGTCACGAGCAATGTAGATCGGCGCACCTCAACGCAGGACACGCAGAAAAATGTCAATAAGATTCAGAAGAGAAAACAAGGGATGACGCGATACGACGGGAGGGGGAGGATATACGGTTCTGGAGAACCAACCTTGCCGAAGACACCGCATTCGTCTGGAAGCAGCCCAAACGTTGTCCAAACCAGGGGTGTTCTCTTCCGCCCTTGGTGACGGTGACGCAGAAGACGAAGGGACACACAAAAAATGTATTTGACCATGTCAGAATTATTTCGATCTCTCTCTCACTCTCTCTCTCTCTCTC